CTATCCATTTAATTACTATGCACTTTCCCCATAGTAAAAGACCGGATGCGCGAGAAGTCTGGGAAAGATCCTCCAACGAACTCTCGTATCGCTTACCATCCTTTGGCTCTGAGGACCTGGTGCTGCTCTCTACGGACCTAAACCAGGATTTTACCTTACATTATGATTCCTTCCCCGAAATGCCACATTTCCGTACTCTTATTTGTCAGCAAGACCTTAGGGCACAGGCCTTTGAAGGAGACACGTGGTTTGCTAGAAACTGCTCATCTAAGATCGACTTTCTCTTTACGCGAGGGACAGGAGTGCACTTTGAGGTGCACAATAACAACGCACTTAGATTGTCATTACCTAGTGATCATAATGCTCTGGAGTTGTCCTGTTCATCTAAGGTCCCTCTCCTTAGGCCGTTGTACAGGAAAACCTTATGTGGTAGATGGGAAACTGACACTACCGAATTCAACAGGATAGTTGAGAGGTTTAGGGTTTAGGGTTTAGGGTTTTTAAACCCTGTTGTGCTAGCTGGGACAAGCCCGATGCCGCCGCCGCCACTATTACTCCTCCTCCTACTGTTGCTCCTGGCTGACGCTGTGCTGCTGCCAACGACCCTGACCACCACTGGTACATCTGACAAACTGTTGCCTCCTTCGCACGACTTCGTAACGACTACCTGCTGCTGCAACTACCACACTTCTCCAGCTTCCGTCGCTGCTGCTCCTACCAGCACGAACAGTGATCGCAAGGAGCCGGGAGGAATCACCAGAAACAGCTCCCACCGAGGCCCTGTCATCCCGAAGCCGTGGCCGAGAGCCAGTATGCCAGGGAAATGATGATCATCGCCGGGGCGCCAACGCTCCGCCGTCCCCAGCGGTCCATGAGCTCCCCTTACCGGGTTCAGTAACGTCTCTGGCTAGAGAATCCGCCGCTTTGGGGTTGGCTTTTCGAGAGTTGGGATGTTTGCATGCCCAAAAAAGTAATACGTACTTCGATACATTTTGACGACCGAGTTTCCACTGATTGTCATGCCCACGAGCCCATCTACAAACTTGCCAGCCGCCACGAGGCCACCAATGGTTGCTTTGTTTAGACCAGCCTCACGGCCCTGCATGGGAAGCAGAATGAGCCAAGTCTGCCGACAGCCGTTCAGCATCAGCGCATAGGTGCCTCGATGTGCAGTAGTCTCCTCTGACCGTCTGGCTCACTCTAGGTTTGCGACAAATCAAATCTCAACCATAGAAAGGGACCTGCAGTCCAGAGCCCGTAGAAGGATGCGTGAAGAACTTCCGCGATGGAATGTGCCGGCGCCTCTGGAGAAGTATGGAGCAAAGGACTTTCTCTCAGCATATCTGTCATGATCCCGACATCCCTTCCCCCAGAGCTGTCAATGCGGAGGAGATGAGAGAGACTTGCCCGGCTGCATGCGATGACTTCCGCGCTGGCGCCTGTTGAGCAAGCTTCTCACGAGCGGCCTTTCGGCCAGCGTCTTCCGAAAGCTCTCGATTTTCGCATTGCTGGTACACAAGGAGAACCTCGCATCAATCGAGCAGGAAAAGACAGACTGGTCGAGGATTGAGAACTGAGAACGACTTGATCCCGAGCAGCCGCTAGCGCAGAGGAGGAGAAGGCTGCTTGCACGAGAAAAATGTCTCGAGTGTTGATCTCCGCAACGACACCTCCCAACAACCTGACTGGCTTGACTCCCTACTGACCATCTTCGAGGGCTGTCTGATGACGTAGAGTATAGTAAACGAGGCCACTTAAAACGTTGTGGGCCGATCCAGCGAACTCAACGAATCAACCTGTGCCACATAAATCTAGACGCGGAGTTGATGACTAACACGGTAGCCAGACATTTCAAGACAGACAAACAGCAGTTCAGGGTACTGGACTACCTGCCCTATGATGCGCAGCAAGGCACGCACCAAGAAGCCCAGCCCACCGGCTCATGCCAGTCAAAGTGCCAGTAATGCGCCCACGAACCTGCTCTCCAGCTCACTGTGGCTTGAAACCAAATGGTCAAGGCAACCCCACTGCCTGCTTGGGGACCTCCGCCGCAATCCAAACCTTCCGTGCGAGGTTCCAGGAGTTGGCTGCTGCTCCCGCCGCAAAACCTCGCAGCAGGCAACTGTCCGCCACAAACCACGCAGAAACCACCAAACCATTAAGCAAACCGAGGCCCATATCACATGAGGCAGCCAACAAGCAGCGACGGCAGGAAAAGGCCTTTACAGTTCGATCCAGGGCTGATATGGACAGATCTGGTCTGGAAATGATGCCACTTCTGAGCATCGTCGCAAGGTGACCGCATGATGGACCGCACGTCACCGTCTGATCAAGCAATTAAGTTAAAAGCCCCCAGGAGGCTGCGCACAGCCTGGCCTGATGAGGAGACTCAAAATCACGCCCATGGGCACCAAACAAGCTAGTCGGGATTGACACCGATTAGCTTCACTGCCAACCCTCCCACTCACAAGCACCCCTCTGACCCCGACTCTTCACTTGACGATGATTTGGGGTCGTTGCCGCTGAATGCGTAGGCCTTCGGCGGAGAGTGCGAGTGCATGTCGTAGCCGACCTTCTCAATGTTTTCGCCAATACGAAGCAGTCCGGAAAACTTCAGGACCAGGAAGGACAGCGTGGACAGCGTACCTGCCCATGCGATGATGGCCAGAATCATGACAATCTGTGCTCCAATGGCGGCGCCTCCCAAGCCCTTGCGGCACGCGCCATCGTCGCCGGCCATGCAGCCGAAACCGCTCCAGCCGTGATAGTGGTCGAAGCCCTTGCCCCAATCGAAGAGACCAGCAGCAAGAAGCCCCCAGAGGCCACAGGCTCCGTGCACTGCGCTGGCATCCACGGGGTCGTCGATCTTGAGTCTCACAAGGAGACTTGACGCCGCCTGGTAGAAAAAAGCGCCAATGAAGCCGGTGAGAACAGCGCTGCCGCACTCCATGTTTCCACACCCCGCAGTGATGGACACCAAGCCCGAAAGAATGCCGTTACA